CGCCAGATATAAAACATTTAAGAAGGTTCCTTTGCCGAACGTCTGCCGACGTACTGAGACAATTGCATGTCTGGTCAATTACCTTCTGTTTTCCTTGTTAATGCATCACGCCGTACAGAGTAAGCCAACACTGTGTAGATAGTGATTGAATAAATGGCGCTAGCTGTCCTGAAACAGGCGAGGTTGAAGATGGAAGCTCTCTTTGGGTCACATTCAAAATGATAAAATATATTTTTTATTCAAAGCAACAAAACTACCGTAGTCTTTACTCATAATAGATTTCACCAGCTGCAACCACCAGCATGTTGTGAAATTAAAAATTGCTTATGAAGGGAGTTGCTTCTTTTACATTTTTTTTTATAAATGGCTAGGTCTTCATTTACGTTTCTGTTTGAAGCCTCTGAAGAGAATAATGAAATGGCGGGATTTCTACTACTACCTCACACATAGGGCTGTTTAGAAGTCAAAGAACTTGGCATAGAAGAGGGATATGTCCCATTAAGATACTTAAAAACTGTTTTGAATATATCGTTAACAACAGGTTTCGTAAAGGAAATGTTTGGGCACTTACCTCGCCAGAGGTAACCAGACCCCAATTACACAGCCGAACGCACCAAACTCGAGCGGCGAACAAAACTTGGTCATTAGCTGGATCGGTGGCCGCCAGCATCCACAGAGGACACCAAGCCTTGTAATTGTCAGGGGACAATTCACAAGCGGCGACTTTTTTGTTCTCCCAAATGACCACCGAACGATCTTCGGCAGCTGTAGCAACTAAGAGACCCTGATTATCCTCTTGGTTTTGGACAGACCTTCGCAAAGTGTCGATGGAGAAGATTATGCCCTTTAATATGTTTAATAGGGAAAATATTAAGGGGATAATTATCAAGTGCAGGTAACCGAATCCGCTCACAAATCATAACAGTAGAAATTATTCAACAACATGATTGCGACGGATTTCAGTATCACCCCTGAGATTAGCAATAGGACAAAGAGGTTGAAACCTTGAACAAACCTTTTGGCAGCCAAAAATTGAAGCGCATGCTATTTTCTTCTTTGATTCGGCAGGATCTGACTCGCCATTTGAAGGCATTAGTACAAGAACGCCTTTAGAAGTACCGCAAAAGTCGATAAATGCTGTGGTGCCGGCACACTGTATAAAATGAAAGGCAGTGGAATATCTAAACTGTTTTGGAGTTGTATTTCTTA